CTCTGTTTTGTGTTATTCTGTTGTGAGCTAGTATTGATAATAAAGAAATTTGGACTCTTGAACCTTAAATTTGGCACTCTCTTTGGACTTTGTACATGTGGATCCTCGACTTTGGACTAATTGTGTTAAGGGGTGCCCTGTTGTGTGGAAATCAACTTTACTAGATCCACTGTGTCCTGTTATAATCTGACTGATCTACCAATTGTTCAAATCCAGTACCTCATTTTCACATGTTTAGAATCTTTGCACAGACATGCTGCACATCATTTACATGGTTTTACTAGTTCACAATGGAAGAGGTTATAGAACGTCGCCATTATGGGTGTGTTGCACGTAACACACCTTCTGTAGGCTGGCCATACACATTATAATTTGACTGCACATTTGCTAAAATCAGAGTGTATTTGTACAGAAGTCTTAATGTGTGTGGGCTCACATAAGATCTAAAGCAGCCCCAAAAAAGGGAAGAGATTGTATAATCAATCTCTGCCATGATGTTCTAAACGGGAAAATGCCAAAGGGTAAAAACAAGTCACTATCCTAAAGCAACAACTAAAATATTGAGTTAAATGGCTTAACATAAAAAAATCCTATTATGTTTATTTGTAAAAGAAATGCTTTATATAAACTACATAAATCATCAGTTTGAAAACTTCCAAAAAATAAAATAAACACTGCCAACAACTATTTTCTTTTCCTTTACACCAATTTATTTTGTTTGTTTTGTTTAATGAATATAATCGAACTCTTGTGTATTCATTTACAATAAGTATCTATTAATACAGTTCAGCAGCTCCTGAAACATACTCAGTACATCCCTGTAGGAACTTATCCCCAAAGGCTAAAAATACAATATTATAACAGCGTGACAAATATAGGACTCTTTAAAGTCTATCCAATATACATTCTTATAAATAATTTTTTATAACAGGGAAGAAAGATATATGCTTGAAATTAAAAAGTATGTGCACACCCCTTCAAATGTTCAGGTGCTTCCAGTGAAGGGGACTGTTAATGCTACAGCATTCAAAGACATTTTAGACAATGGTGATCTTCCTGGCTTTTGATAACAGTTTGGGGAAGGCTCTTTTCTGTTCCAGCATGACTGTGCCCCTGTGTACAAAGCTAGCTTTATAAAGACACAGTTTGGTGAGTTTGGTACGGAGGTTTCCTACACAGAGCCCGCTGAACACCTTTGCGATGAATTGGAACACCAAGTGCAAGCCAGGTCTCCTCATTCAACATCAATAGGTTCAACATCAAATGGATACACATTCCCACAGACACACTCCAAAATCTTGTGAAAAACCTTCCCATAAGTATTAAAATGCTCATGGTTTTGGAATGGGATGTCCAACAAGCTCATGTAGGTGTAATGATCAGGTGTCAACAAACTTTTGACCATGTATTATTGATTTATATTATCCACATTCCTAATCAACTTTAATCCTATTAATTTGCCAATAATTTTGCCATTATGCAAGATACAAAAATGTATTGCAGATATATTTTTGGGTGTGTGGGAAGAGGGGGCAAAGCTTTTTTGTTTGGTACAGTTTTAGTAGCAACATTATTTTTTTTCAAACAATGTGTTACTATAGATACAAAGTATACATTTTATTCTGCTGCTTGTCCCCTTTTTATGATGATAACATTATATTGTACATTTATTTTAAAAATATTTTTTAATTAAGGTTTTTTTTAAGCCTGTGTATTTTAACACTACACTACATGCAATAAGTAATAATGCACCAAACTTATTCTTACCAAACTGTAAAAAATTGAAAATATTTGCAAATAAAAACTTGCAAAGGACAGTAGTTAAATGTCACAGCACCACACAGCGTGGCCCTGTGTAGCAGGGCAGGGGATCTGATTTTATTTGCAGTAGTTTCCCATTCACCTACAGGTCTACACCCCATGGCCACCCCACACTGTGATTGGGCAGTGAAAGGAGAAGCAGCACAATTATGAGCTCATCTTATCATTACAAGGCAGAATAGCAGGTACCCATAGCCCATTACTGTTTATTAAAGTCTATTTAAAGCTCTTTTTGGACTGGATTGGGGAGGGTTAAGGGCCTCTGCCAGGTTTTTATTGCAGTCTGTGTCCTTAGCAGGAAAATGTATGCTCTTTATTTGTCCTGGTGACCATTGTCATAAGGGCTGAAAGGGAGGGAAAAGCAGAACAACCACAAATAGAAATGTTTCAATAAGAAAGCAATAACTGTCTAAGGGCCGTTCACACCATCCATTGCGTTTATGTAGCCCTGAGGAAGGGACCCTGCATGGCCCTGAAACGTTGGCTTGAAGGCACATGTGACCAGTGAATAAAGTGTTCATACTTCATGCATACATTTGAGTGCTGGTGATTTCTGCTATTGATCGCATCATGACACAACTCCATCCATGTAATCTCTTCAAGCACCAAGAAAGAGGTCTGTACGCTGTATGGAAGTGTAGGTGATATGATAACCTTTGATGGAAGTTCTATGACATGAATGCACTGGATTGCAATCGCACTGTACTGGAACGCAGGGCATTGCTTGTTCTGGTGTGGGCAATCACACTGCAAGCGGGAGGCGTGTCTGTAGTGCCATTGAAATTATTGGACATACAGTCTCCCTCCTGCCCCAGAACATGGAAGGCTTTGTTTATGGGATCCAGTGTGCTCATATCACCGAACTGTGACATGAACGCACTGGATGGTGTGAACGGGCCCTATGAGAGGATTTCCCTCACTTACATCTTACTTCCTGTTGTGAAGGATAAAAAGTAAAAGGAATTCTCCACCAATGGGGACACATGTGGCAAAAAAACCTGACAGGGTTTCTAAGACTTTTTAACTCTATCCAAAAATTTTTTAAAAGTCTTTCGATGTACTATAAGCAAAGCTGAATGTATACATAATAAATATAATTTATATATTTAATTTAATATATTTACTGCATTGTTGATTTTATTTTCAGGGCCAAATCAAATTAGGGTCATGATTATTGAAAATGTCACTGGCTTCAATGAATTCTTCCTCGCCGGGCTCTCGGACATCTCTGAGCTCCAGTGTTTCTTGTTTGTGTTCTTTCTTTGTATCTACATGATAACTCTTTTAACCAATGTAGCAATTATCATTGTAACATGGCTCAGTCCAAATCTGCACACTCCTATGTATTTTTTCCTTGCCAATTTCTCCTTCTTAGAAATCTGCTATGTCTCTTCCACCACCCCCAAAATGTTGTCCAACATCCTTGCAGAACATAAAACCATTTCGTATAGCGCTTGTCTTGCCCAGATGTATTGCTTCCTGCTGCTGGGTGGGACAGAGTGCTACATGCTTGCGGCTATGGCCTATGACCGCTATAATGCAATATGTCATCCGCTCCTCTACAGTGTCATTTTAACCAAGAGGACCTGTATTCTGCTTATCTCTGGCTCTTGGATCATTGGCGCCGTCAATGCTTTGATACACACAGCCCTGACCTTCACTTTGCCTTTCTGTTCGAATAAGATCAACCATTTTTTTTGTGACATCCCACCTCTACTCAAACTGGCCTGTACCAATACGTGGGCCAACGAAATGACAGTTTTTCTAATTAGCGGGTCTGTCATTGTTGGATCGTTTATATTGACCATGATCTCCTATGTGAAAATCATCTCTGCCATTCTCAATATACAGCTGAACTCCGGTAGGAAGAAGACATTCTCGACCTGTGCATCTCACTTTGCGGTCGTGATGATATTTTATGGCTCTGGCATTTTTATGTATTTCAGGCCAAAATCAAGTTATTCCATGAATCAGGATCGGTTGATTGCAGTGATGTATACGATTATTGCACCGTTGTTAAATCCTTTCATATATACTTTCAGGAACAGTGACGTGAAGGCTGCTGTCCACAAATTAATGGGTCAGATTATTATAACACAAAAGTTGTAAAAAAAAAAAACCCTTGCTTGCTAAATCAAATTATTACATATAACAAAAAAGAGGTTCTGGAGCAGATGGACTTTTCATGTATATGGTTAGCCCTCAGAAAGGCAAAACATGGGATTTTTGTCTTACCTGTAAAATTGTTTTCTTGGGGTACAATACAGGGCACAGGCTGAATCAAGATGGCTGCTATACCCCAGCCATCTTTATCCATCTGTGTCCTGCACTGTATGATCAGGTTTGTCTATGTAAAAACATATACCCAGAGCCAGATTTACTCTCCCTGTTTGCACAAAGGCCAGGTTCCGAAATGCGCCCCCTACCCACCAACGCCCCCCTCCCATGGAGAGTGGCAGACATGCAGACTGCATACAAGTGATCCCTGCAACATCACCGAGATCACTTGTACAAAACAAGCGGCGGCTTCCCCGCTGTACATTTAGCTCTGCTTGCCCAAAGCAGGGCTAAATGTAGAAAACAACTACCCGCCCGTTGCCCGGAACTGCATGTCCAGGGCATCGGGAGATAGGGATGCCACACCCCTGCTGCCCCTCTACTCCCTGCTGCCCTGAGGACGCGACTGGGTTGGCCTTGTGGGAAATCCGGCCCTGCATATACCATATGTTATAATGTGTTATCTTTCTTTACACCAAACCTGTTTCCATGATAGGGAAGGTATAGTGAATTTTTAATGGGAGCATAGTTTGATACATTATTTTTGCAGTGTTTATCTTACAGGAGAACTATGAGGTGAGTGCTTTTCACTCACCTCATAGTTCTAGCCGACCTGTGACAATGAGACTGTCACAGGTCGGCTCAGTAGATCGGGAGGTGAGCGAACACATACCGACGTTCGCTCACCTCTCGATCCTGTCACGGCTCTCTGCTGTGACAGGGGAGGGGCTGGATTCCCCCCGCTCCGATCCGCCAGCGCTGACTGGCGGAACGGACGGGGGAGGGGGCGGGTACAGCTGGCTCTGCCTATAGATGGCAGTCACGCAGCTGGGCGGATGCCAGCACAATTGTCGGGATCCGCTTCAGCTGCGGCGTCTCAGTATACCGCAAACAGCAGCTTGTGGTATACTGAGCCTAGGGTGACGGGAGGACGCTAGTTTGTGTCCTCCCGTTACCCTAAGGAGAACTATGTGGAAAAGCCTTAACCCCATAGTTCTCCTTTAAAGAAGAACTAAAGTATTGTTTTTTAAATGCAAACACTCTGAAACTGTAAATTAAAATTTGTTCACGCATTCCTACTTGCAGATCTGTTCTACTTTTTGCTTTATTGCTTTATTCATATTTTATGTACCTGTACCCTCTTGCCTAGTATACCAGTGTGTCCCCCTGCACTCCCTGCAGCGTCTCAGACCAAATCACAGTGGTGGTTTTCGTAGTGATAATCACGGATTGCGCCACGTGCATCAATCAGTAGTAAGAGAGGATCACCAGCACTCAGAAGATGACGTTCAAATCATAATATCCGTTTATTCAGATAGATCGTCACATATATCACATATAGCTAAGCCAGGCTATATGTGATATATGTGTCGTTTTATCTGAATAAAAGGACATTATAATTTGAATGTCATCTTCTGAGTGCTGGTGATCCTCACTTCTTACTGTACCCTCTTGTACACTGTTATGTTACCTCTACCTGTCAGTCAAATAAGAAAATATGAATAACATTTGCTATTTATAGGTGGAAAAGATGCTGGAAACAGAGGCATGCCCTTTTGTCTATAAGATGAAATAAGTGCACGGACCAATAATACATATATACTGTGATAGGTGTTCTGCTGCCATCTGGTGGTCTGTTTTTGGAATATTTTTAGCTTAGTTATAGGAGTTCCAAATTCATAGGATATATTATCCAGTAATAACATCAGCCTTGTAAAAGGAATACATAGTAGAGTTGTTTTTGATAATACAATCAAAGCTTACTTGAAAAAAATCATTTTTATGTAGTGAGTGCTGCCTTCTGTCTGCCCATCACTTCCATCAACTTCCTGGATTCCCAGTGTGCTTTGCAACTTTTTCCCTGCTGCATGATGTGATACAATCTTGATTTATCAAGACATAGTCCATATTACTGCCTAAGTAGCACCCTAAATTGTTTACCTTTCTCCTGGTAAATAGCAGTGTCTCCTGATATGTGAGTGTCCCTAGGTACACCTCTGTCTTTAACCTCATGGTCTCTGACTGCTAGTCTCAGGAGATTTGGAATGAGAATTTGGGGATGTTACTACTGTATTTCTTGCTGTGTACCTTGGTGGAGGCACTGACATGGAGAACAAAAGCCCTTCTTCTACCAAGATAGCTGCCTCAATTCAGTTCCACTTTAAGCAAAACCAGTAGGTAGCACTGCAAAGCAAGCAGAGAATACATATGTCACAGAAAGAATGTCTGCCCTGTGTACATACAGATACAAGAAAAAGTATGTGAACCCCTTGGAATTAACTGGGTTTCTGCATTCATTTGCCATAAAATGTGATCTGATCTTGATCTAAGTCACAACAACAGACAAACACAATGTGCTTAAGCTGATAACAAACAAACAATTTTAATTTCTGGTGTCTTCATTGAACACATCTATTAAACATTAAAAATCAAGTGAACCCATAGACTAATTACTTCAACGAAAGCTAATTGGAGTCAGTAGCTTGCAGAATGCAGACTTGGAGTCAAATTAATGAAATTAATTTAGAGGTGTGGTTTAGAGCTACTTTGATTGATAAAAGACAATCAAACATTTTAAGATTGCTGTTCATAAGAGGCATCAACTGATGTGAACCATGCCTCGCAAAAAGGAGCTCTCTGAAGACATACTGTACGATCAAGAGTAGTTGATCTGCATAAGGTCAAAAGGGATACAAAGCAATCTCGATCAAAGTGTTTAGGCATCTATCAGTTGACAGACAAATTGTCTATAAATTGAGACAGTTTAGTACTGTGGCTACTCTTACTAGAGGTGGGTGCCCAGCCAAGATGACTCCCAAGACAACGCAGAATCCTCCTTGAGGTAAAGAAGAACCAACGAGTAAGAGCTAAAGGCTACACTGCAACTGGCAAACATCCCTTTTCACGAGCCTACCATATGTAAGTCTTTGAACAGGCAGGGTGGCAATGGCAGAACAACACAAAGGAAGCTGCTGCTCTCCAAAAAAAGATGTTTGCGCGCTTGAATTTTGCAAAGGAACAGCTTCAGGAAGAGTACTCAGTGCAATGTATGATGCAAAAAGGGCACAACTTAGCAACATCAAAACATCATCCCAACGGTGAAGTATGGTGGAGGGAACAACTTGCCTAAGGGCCTGTAACACTTGCCATCATTGAGGGTAATTTATTCCCAAATTTTCCAAAATATCCTACTGGATAATGTCAGAGGGGCTGAAGCTTAGTAGAAGTTGGGTAATGTAGCAGGACAATGACCCTAAGTCCAGACCTTAACCCCATAGAGATGCTGTGGAATGACCTCAAGAGAGCCGTTCACACCAGACATCCTACATATGTGTCTCAGATGAAGCAGTTTTGTAAAAAGGAATGGTCAAAAATTCCTCCTGAACGTTGTACAGGTCTGATCCATAGCTACTAAAAGCTAGCTATGGAGTAGCTAGCTTGAAGCCATTGCTACCCCTTTAGGTTTGACAAGCTATTAACTCCAGAGGTTCACTTACTTTTTACTCCAGCACTTTGAATGTTTAATGAGCTTGTTGAATAAAAACACAAAACATAAGAATTATTTGTGTCTTATCAGCTTATACACATTGAGGGGAATTTATCAAAACTGGGGCAGACAAAATCTGGAGCAGATGTGCATGGCTACCAATCAGCTTCTCTCTTTCATTTTCAAATCTTAAACTGAACAAAATTATTAGAGAAGCTGATTGGTCGCCATGCACAGCTGCTCCAGATTTTGTCTGCTCTAGTTTTGATAAATTCCCCTCATTGTGTTTGTCTGTTGTCGTGACTTAGATAAGGACCAGATCACATTTTATGGCAAATTACTGCAGAAAACCAGTTTTCCCCGCTCTGCCTCTTGTGACAGATGAGTCAGGATGGAGAGAGAAGTACAAACACTGTACAGTGTTTGTAATAAATTGAGGACATAGCACATTTATTGTGCCCCCAATTATGAATGAACAGGAAGTGCTTTACAGCACTTCTTGTTCATTCGTGGTTGTAGACATACTGTAGTAAATTATAGTTATGGGCTTAATGTTCGAGTCGAACGCGAGTTCGACTCGAACATCGGCAGTTCATGTGTTTGGCGAACACAGTTACTGTCAGGGCATTCGGCGGGCTATTTGCCCACCGAGCGCCCTGCAAGGCACTGTACCTTTGGAGCCCTGATTGGCTAAAGCCTTGCACCTGACCACAGGGCAGGTACAAGACGTTGCCCAATCAGGGCACAGCACTCTGTAAGAGCCATGATTGGGCAAAGTCATCATGACTTTGCCCAATCATGGCTCACCAGTCAGATGCCCTACAACTGTAAACAGTTGGCCGGAGCTAACTGTCATCGCTAGCTCCGCCCCATTGTTTATATGTTGCCGGCATCTGTCAAAGCGGCGGGTGTTCGCCATGAGCAACGGGACGGCAGTCGTTAGTTTAAATGTTTTTTTATTTCTATGTATTTTTTAATTTTTTATTTTGGCGAGTCATCGTAGACAACGTTGCGCGTGATGATAGACTCTGGTTTACATCGGTGGATCCATTTTTTTGAGGTTTTTTTTTTCAAAATAAAAGACTCGTCAAAATCTTGTCTTTCGTTTTTTTCCAAATAAAGGATTTTTTCAAAAGTCTGGACTTTTTATTTACAATCTTATTAACCCTTTAGTGAATGGGTAGGGGTACAATTACCCCTTACTCATTCACAGTGAATACGCCCCCTGCCCGCAAGCCCACAACCAACGCCCCAGGGCTTGTGGGGAAGAGGCCCTTGTCCCCATCGGCACGGCGACCCTGGAAAAGCACCCTCCCAGTGCCGAGGGCATGTGGCCTGGTATGAG